ATTTTTATGTATTATTAAATAAATAAAGACACTTAATATTATAATTTTAAATGAATGATTTAAATAATATATAAAATTATACTAAAAAAATAATACAAAAAATTATTTTTAAATCATTTATTTAGTATTAGGGGATTAAGGGAGCCGTTTAAGGTTAATGGGTAAAGAAGTTTCTTAAAAATAGCATAAAAAAAAGGAAGATTCTCTTATTCATTTTCTTAAACACCAATCATTACTTATCCACAAAGAAAATGAAGTTTTTGAAAAAATTTACAATTCAAATGTGAATTAGCTGACTTTCAAATATATTCATGTTGCTAGTTGCACAAAACGTTAGAGCGCCTTGCAAGTTCCAGGACCGTTGCTTTTGCCTACTTTTTATACAGGGACAGAGAGAAAGCGTAGAATGAGTGAGTTACACGCGCCGGAACACCCTCAATCAAGCTCGCTCTTTTTCAGCTTTCTCCAAAGCAGAATGATTTTAAAATTTTAATTAATAGCTATATTCAGTCTTCCATTCCTCTCTGATTCACTTTCCTCTCCCAAACACTTCCTCACCAGACCCCAATTTCAGTGTCTTTTAGCCTACACTGTGCTTGTTTGTCGAAGCAAACCAGGGAAGAAAGGAAGAAAGTTGAAGTTTTTGAAGGGGTTGCTGTTGAGGAGAGTAATGGGGTTTTCGAGTTGGGGAATGATTTGTGCTGGTCTGCTGCTGGTTTTGGTGGCGCCATTCTGTGCCTCCTTGACTGACCCTTTTGATGGTAAAGAAAGTAGTCTCTTACTTCCAAGTCTGCATCTTTTTCCCTTTTGGTAGTATTATTTTTGGTATATTCTGGAATGTGCTCAGTTTGGCTCTGTGAAAGTATGAGGGGAATTCATAGGTGATGCTAGAAAGTTCAGTTCTTTGTCATCACTTTGCTTTAGCTCGCTTAACCATGGTTGTTTAATTCCGATGTTCAATTTTGTTTAGCATTACGCATTATGCCGTTATAACAGTTAACTGAGTATGCTATTTCTATGTTGTTTTAAAATTTATCTGATTTGCTCGATTTGCATGATTACTTTTGCAGGACTGAACTTCTATGTACTTCTAAGCGCAACTATTATTTGTTATGACTTGTTCTTTTACCCTATTTTCCTTTCTTTTTTTTGGTTATCATGGAAACTCTTCTCAGAGAAAAATCTAGGGAAGCTTGTTATAACTGTTTCTTTGTTTTTTGTTTGATTCTCAGTTATGGCAGTAAATGGCTTATATTTGTCTTTAGGATCCCCACCTCTCACTGGGTGGGTTCCTGCTGGAGGAGATCCTTGTGGGGAAGGATGGCAAGGTGTTAACTGTGTCTTCTCGAACATAACTGAACTGTATGTTGATTTTTCTTTGTCATGTTCTTCTTCCTTTTGTTTCTTTAAATTAATGGGTCCTGGATTAACTTGTCAAGAGCTAATCTGTTGTGCAGACGACTAAATGGCGTGAACCTGGGAGGGTTTTTGGATGATAGCATTGCAAACTTTGAATCCGTCATGGTATTGTGAGTGCCTTTCTTTTCCCCTTCAATACACTAAAAGTTGTTAACTTTCGTTCATGGTTGGAGGACTTATGCTTCTTTGTATTGTTTAATGGAATAGGGATCTGAGCAACAATCACATTGGAGGTAGTATTCCATCAAACTTGCCCCCTACACTCAGGAACTTGTATGTTTGATCCTCAGTATTTTTCTTCTACCCATACACTATAGTTTCTAATCTAATTTAAGCACATTAAGTTATTACTTTATGTTGTTTTATGCCTAGATAGCCTTGTCTTAATAATTTGTCTCCTTTCTCTTGTGTCAGTTCACTTTCAGGCAATCAGTTTAGTGGGAGCATCCCTGATTTGTCAATGTTAAGTCAACTGTTAGATTTGTAAGTTTAAAGCAAACTTACCCCAAAGTCTTGACATAAATAAATTAATGTTTTCTTGTTATCTGTTTCTCATTTGAAACTTTAATTCACTGTAGGTCACTGAATGATAATCATCTAAGTGATGGGATACCAGATTCCTTTCAACAGCTTACCAGTTTGATAAATTTGTAAGTTCTGTCAAATCTTATATAGGTTTTCCTTTTGTCTTTATTGTTCTAATCTTGGTGTGACAAGTATTTTATGGAGCAGGGATCTGTCAGAAAATAATTTGAGTGGTCAGCTGCCACCCTCATTTGGGAACATGACATCTCTGACTGTGCTGTGAGTCCTTAAACGATGGTCATTAGATTGTTATACTTGTATTATTTTCGTGAATCACACACTTAATTCTTGGCTTCATGTTGCAGGCACTTGCAGAAGAACAAACTTTCTGGGAAGCTTGATGTGCTACAGGATCTTCCCCTATTTGACTTGTACTTAGTTTATTTCTGTGATCTTTTCAATTTCATATTCTTTCCAAACAACATATATCAAGAGATTAAGCCTTAATCCTGAAAATTCTGAGTGTCACATTTCACCACTTCTTTTTTTTTTTTTGTATAGGAATGTAGAGAACAATCTATTCTCGGGTCCTATACCTCCAAAGTTGCTAAATATTCCAAATTTCAGGTGAAGCTGCATATTTGATTTTGTCATATCCTAGAATTATATATTGCTAAAAAAATGCATGTTTATATTGGTAATAAATAGACTATGCATGTGTATGTGGTAGTACTTTGAGGTTTATTTTGCTTTTTCTTTTTGTTGGTGATATCAAATATGCTATGCAGAAAAGATGGAAACCCTTTCAATACTACCATCCTTGCACCCCCACCAGCTGCACTACCTCCATTTGTAGCTGGGGCTCCTTCCTTGTCTCCTTCCCCTGGACAAGGATATGGAGGGCTGGCAAGTGGACCTTGGATGCTAGAGCCACCCCTGTCAGAAAAAGCAAGAAAATTTTGGACAAATGAGAGGCTTACTTGGGTTGCTGTTTCTGGAGTTCTAGCTCTTGCTGTGTTAGGAGCATGCCTTTTGCTGTGGAGATGCTCTAAAGGTAGACATCCTAATGAAGTCAATGAGAAGCATGGTATAAATCAATTTCAGGGAGCTAGAGGGAAGCTTAGTCACAGCAATAAATCTGCATTTCAATCTACTGTTAAAATGGAGAAGGGTAACTTGATTGTAATTGTATTCCATCCAGTTTGTTTGGTTGTCAAAAGTTTCTTTCTCCTTTGTTTATCCTTTTATTTGAAATTTGGCAGTTCCAAAAGAGGCAGTTGTGAAAATGAAAGGTGAATATGGAATAGACAGTGGAAGAATGGCCGCAAATCCTAAGATGCAGGATGAGCAAGTGATAGATGTTATGAAAATGCCTACAAATTTAAGGAGCAAAAAAGATCACAATATCGACATGAATTCTATGGCCCTGCAATCAACAGTTCCTGCTCTACCTTTACCTCCCGTTGAGGGTGTTATTGTAAACCCAGTTGTCCCAGCATTAACAAGTAGGGATGGTCTTGTTTCCACAAGTCAGAACTCCACATTTCCCACAAGTGTGTTCACCATTGCATCACTTCAGCAGTACACAAATAGCTTTTCTGAAGAAAACTTAATTGGAGAAGGCATGCTTGGTTGTGTTTATAAAGCTGAGCTTCCAGATGGAAAGGTAAAATGATTTTAGTTACTGGACTGCCTATTTGGTTCTAATTTATGCATTGACACGCTTAGTTTTTCATATGTAGCTACTTGCTATCAAGAAATTGGATAGTAAAGTTTCTGGGTGGTGGAATGAAGAGGAATTTGTTGAACTGGTTTCTAGTATCTCAAAACTTAAACATCCTAATATTTTGGAGCTCATGGGTTGCTGTAATGAGCATGCCCAACGGCTGCTTGTGTACAAGTATTGCAGACATGGGTCACTTTATGATGCACTGCATGTTGATGATGAGGTGCACGGAAAACTTTTGTGGGATGCACGTGTCCGGGTGGCGCTGGGAGCTGCTAGAGCCTTACAGTAAGTTGACAAGCCACTCATCCAATTTAAAAACCATTTATTTAACTTAGTGAGGAAATTTCATGTGGACCTAAATTATCTTTAGGTACGTTTCCAAACTCATTTATCAAATTTAAGCTTTCTTCCATCTTCTGTGCCAAGGTATCTGCATGAGGTGTGCCAGCCACCCATCATGCATAGGAATTTGAAGTCTTCAAATGTTCTTCTTGATGACAAGTTTGCAGCCCATATCTCAGACTGTGTTTTGGTTCCTTTATCCAGTTCTGCTGATCAGGTAATTTTGTACACATCTCTATGGCTCTGATGTTCAATTCCTATGTACATCAGTCACTAGTGATTGAGAATCTCTACTTATAATGGTGCCCAATATCTCAGTTAGCAGGAAGCCTCATATCTTCTGGTTATGGAGCCCCAGAACTCCAGTTGGGTAGTTATACTTGCCAGAGTGATGTCTATAGCCTTGGAATTGTAATGTTAGAACTCCTCACTGGGCGAAAGCCATTTGACAGGTTAGCTAATTTGACATAAAACATAAGTTGAACTTTTTGGGTTTCTCCTAAACTGTGTTAAATGGATTTGCATGTAGATCACGGGCTCGAGGGGAGCAATCTCTTGTTGGATGGGCAATTCCTAGGCTTCATGATATAGATGCATTATCTAAGATGGTTGATGCTTCTCTAGATGGAGCATATCCAGTAAAGTCACTATCACGCTTTGCAGATATAATATCTCGATGTGTTCAGGTAAAGATTTCTCTTTCATTCAGCCTTTCTATTAGTGGCATTTTTCTTAAAAGGGTTTCTGTCCTTTTGTGTGCAATACTCTTTTAAGACTTCCCCCAGGATTCACATCATTTATAAGTCCAGATTTGGGACAAGGCTTGTTTGAGTCTTTTTGTTTGATAACAATTTGGATTGGTTTTTATTATTCAGAACAACAAAGTCACTGTATTTTTATCTTCTTACAGTGGGAGCCAGGATTCCGACCACCAGTATCTGAAATTGTCCAGGATCTTTTACGCATGATTTAGAGCAGATCCTTATGAACCGGATTATACACAAGTGCTGAGCCAAGAAAGATGCTTGAGTGACCACAAGGTCAAAATTTTCAATTTGATTCCTGTTATTGTATATCTAATAATAACCTCTCAAAGGTAAAATCATACTGCAAAATTCTTTTAGGCCTCTCCTACATTACTTTCTTCTTCTTTTTTTTTAAAACCGGGGGGGAGGGGGAAGTGTTGAAGTGTTGATGAAGTTGTTTCGTAATTGTCCCTTGTGAATACAGCTTGCTAATGTAATTATTAGATTTCTAAACTTGATTCTATCATTCTGAATTTAAAAAAGAAAAAAAAAAAAGAAAAAAAGAAAAAGGGAAAAAGGGAAAAAACAGATTCTTAGCTTTGAAGGGTGATGATATTGATTTGTTAATGTTAATGTTGTTTTGTTGGTGTTACATGTCGGACTCTGCCAAGGCAATCAAATAATTTCTTGTTTTGTCCTGAGGATTACAATACCCATGAAGAAGGAAGAACCCACTTTAGATTAAGCTGAAGCCAAATACAAAATCCCAGAAATAAGCTATAAACAAAAAAAAAAAAAAAACAAAATGAATGACTTGTCCTCTGCACTCCCACATGGGTTCTTGTCCTAGTCTTTGAAATTATGTCAGAAACTGTAGATCTTTTCCAAATAGTAAGAAACAAAACAAGATTCAAACAAAGAGTCCTGCATAATCTTCTTATTCCAGGCACATTGGAAAAAAAGCCAACCTCTGAACAGGGGCGGAGTCTGAAATTTTAGTTAAAGAGTCGGTTTTTTAAGTTTTAAAATAATGTATTGTAATTTTAAATTTTTATTTTTATATTATATATTAAAATAATATTTGACGAGTTTTTATGTCACAAAATATATTTATAATATTGTCTACACTAAATGATTAAATTATTTCATTTTTAATATAAATAATTAAAGAGTTTGAGAGAAATTCATCATCTATTTTATTGTGAAATTTCGTGAAATTTCATTTTCACAATTTTCATGATAGAAAATACTTTTTCTAGTATTGCTATAGAAATTGTAAGAGTAAACATAAAAATAATTAACTTGTAAATGAAACTATAGAACTCTGATTTTCTTGTCTTCATAAACTATTTACATAGTTAAGAAATATAGCAATATCTTATCTCTTCACCCTATTACTTTCTACAAGTGAACAATTTTTTTTTCTCTTTTTACAAGTTAATTATACTTTATACGAGTTTATTTTCCTTTTATACTAATTTATGTTCATATTGTTTTTATCTATATGACTATATCTAAGGTTTTTCCTTTTATTAGATTCACATATGTTCCCTTTATGGATTTGTACTTTTTCTTTTTCTTTTTTTCAATTTTTTTACTTCAATCTAATTTTATTTCATATAACTTCAATATAACTTTAATATTACCATAATATTCAATTTTATTTGTAATTTCAAATCCTAAAAGGAAATTATACAATTTTTTGTAATAATAAAAAATTAATAAGTTTCATTACTTAAATATTATTCCTTCTATAGTAGAATAATAGATTTTTTTGTTTTATCTTCAAATAAAAGATTTGAAAACAATTTTATTTTTACCTATTTTATACTTAAAAAACAACTAAAAATAAATATCTACTTCCATAAAAAAATAATTAAAGTTAAAAGATAATTATAAGGTTAAAGTAGAAAAAAATTATTTATCTTCCTCAAAAAAAAAAAAAAACAAACTATTATTTTGGGATAAATTCTAAATAAAAAATATCAATTATTCTAGGACAGAGAGAGTGTACTAATTTTTTTGTTATAACATATCTACTAATAAGTATAAAACAAAATTTTAAAATAAAATAAAAAACTTACAAAATTTTAAAGTTGAAACCCAATATGACAATATATGATTCAT